AAGAATGTTAAATTCATATACATTTGCAGAGTACCTGTATCAATTTGGTCTACATACAACGAACAATGACTTGAGCTCCACCTATGTCCCTACCAAGGTTATTGACCCTACGAACAGTCGTTTAACCGGTTTGACCATTGAAGTATTATAATAGAATTCGATGACGAGGAACCCACTTGGAGACTAATAATGGTTGTTAAACTTATATTAAAGTTTTTCTTCATTACCCATTCAAGCCATCTCCAACCATTATTACAATAGAATGTTCAACACTACGAAATTTCAAATCAATCAAGCGTTCAATATTTCTTCATTTTGAGTAACTAAAGAATCTTGCCTTAAAATATTAACAAACTGTCTTACCCTAATGTTAATGATAACTGTATGCATGAATTAAAAAAAATTAACTAAAAGTAGGCGAATTGATAAATTTTTAATGGATTACACGATACAGATAATGACTTTCAATGAGCATTAACTAAGGTTTGACAAGTAATTATACTAGGTTTGTTGGTTTCTTGTAAAGCAAAAAGCTACACAATGGGCTATCCATGCTCTGCCTATCACAGATTGCATTATTAGCTCACCGATTTACCGTTGAGCATTATACTAGAAAAACACTATATTTACTTATAGTTTTGTCATCATTGTCGAAACGTTGTACATTTGCTGTTATGTTAAACTTATATTAAAGTCTTTCTTCATTACCCATTCAAGCCATCTCCAACTATTATTAGTCTCAAAGTGGGTTCCTCGTCATGGAACTATATTTACTTGTATTCTTATACAGAGAAAAGTAAAAACAACAACAAAAAAGGTGGTGGTGGTAAATAATTAGCATTTTTCAAAACTGAAAGAATACAACTAATGGGACTCCTCAAGATATTTAGACTAATTCATGTTAGCGACCCTTTTGGTGTATTATTATTATTATATATGCGCATAATATATCGTAAACTATACTTTGAATGGTCAGTTTTTCACTTAGGAATTCAATAGGGTGGTTTTTCAGCACATTAATTATTTGGAAACCTTGTAGATCCCTACTATTAAGTACTACTGTACTAAATAATGATTTGTGACCTTCGTTGTTCATTATTTATACCAATGATTTGGTTAGAATATTTCTAACTTTGCTGATGTTACTGAAATATTGAGATCTTCCACTGAAAAGTTTCTTTAACTGAAAAGTGTCTTGATATTCTTAATGATTGAGCCAGAATATTTAAAATGAAACTCAGAATTTTAATGTAGAGAACAGAAGAAACACAAGCTTGTACATTAAGAGAAATTTAAATAAGTTATCTAGTTTGTTAGACTAGCAATCAACTAACAGTTATTTACAAATTGATAATTATATAGATATTGCAAAGAAGTATGTCACAGCTAAAAAATTAGGCCTATTCTCAACAAAAAATTACAGTTTAACATGGTACTTATCAATCCTAATAAACACTGCAGAGGAACACAAACTGAATAAAAATAATATTACCAGAGTTGGGGTAGCTAATTTTCAGGATTCAAGTACGAAGGAGTGCTGAAAGAAAAACTACTTATTGCTATAAAGTCCTCTGTATCATGTTAAACTCCTATATTTTAAACCATGCCTTCATATGATCCAATGTGGTTGTAGGACCATATTTACATCATCCCTAACTAAACAAGAATCACAAATTACTAAAGTTGTAATCAGTCCTAATAAAAACTGCAAGGTAGTATAAGAAGGCATATTATATTAATTTCTATAGTGAATTTCACAAAACTGACTAAAAACAATATTATTAACAATGGTAGGGTATTTGATTTTCAGGATTCAGGTACAATAAGTTTGCATTGCATGAGCATCCTACTGCAGCCAGTCAAAAGAAATGCAGCTGGTTTAAGCAAAACAGATTTTTATCAGCCAAGTCACCATTTCAAGCAGGTTAACAGTCACTGTCTTTTTAACCTAAAGTTGCTGACAAATTAAACATTAAAACTTAAGCATTAGCATACATTTTTGGTTTCATACTTAATCTACCATAACACTTTTTTTACATCTAGGCATTCAGTACATTTTATCGAAGCAATACAGCTGCTACACTTATCCCCCAGTGCTTCTTCACTATAATGGTCAGTAGCAATTGCTACTTATAATGTTTTGGTGGTGTTTTTTTTTAAAACAACTTTTGCTTAAGTAATGTCACTCTTATAATGCCCATTACTTAAATAAAAGTTGTTGTTTTATAACACACACACACACAAACATATGTGTGTGTGTGTGTGTGTATATATATATATATATATACACACAAATAAAAAAATCTAATTTTCCACACAAGTGACATTTAATCTACGATTATTATTGAAACACTGTTTTTGTTAACAAGAGAGAAAAATCTGATTCTGTCAGATGAAGCTATAAAACTGTCTTTGAATTCCTGGCTAGCAAATGAACTTTTGAACCATCACACAGTCCTAATGGTTCCAGTGTGGTCACAAGACCAACTTTATACCAACCCAAACCAATAATTGTTTCCAACAAAATGTTACTACATTTTTCTCCGAGTATAATTAAGTATACTTGATTAAAATGATGTGCCATATTGGTTGAGATCTGTACAAACTAAAACAGATTAAGCTGAAACCATAATATCTGCTACCCTGTCTCTAGTAATAATATTTTTCATTCACAGTTAGACATAAATAAAAAAACTCTTCAACCTGAGCACTTTTGGAATGTAGAAATTTCTTCATTGAGGCCAAACTGGGAGTGACATTATGGTTAAACAAAGTAGAATACTTTGATACAGGACAGCATGTTTTATACATTGATAGTTAATATGTAACTTTTTCCAAATTTCTGGATTTCCCCATCTTTGCACTTCAGCTAGAGGTCAGGTCATATGTGTGAGGAGTGACATGTGCAACTTGGCTTTTTGCAATGTTGTTATGATTTGTATCAAAATCCAGGTTCTTTCTATCTTTCTTGCCAGCCCAACACACCTACTACGAGGCATACTTGTTCTTGTCTTATTTTGTGTAGTGTTCATGACTTTCAGTGTTTGTATAATAAACATTGTTATTGTGAACCATATGTGTTCAAACTTTTTCTTTATGATGAGCTCAGTTTTGAGAGAAACACATACTATAACTTGGTGTCCTTCGGACATCCAATTAGCAAGACCTAACTGACTATTGAATGGGAAAATCTTGTGCCACGAAAATGCCATACAAAGAATAACAACCCAAAAGTGTTTTGATTAGCTTTCAAAGGCATGTTGCTGATGTGACTAATTTTCACTGTGTAATAGAAATGAATGAACCAGAAAATATCAGGCTGAAAGAGGTTGCTAAAATACTGATTAAAATAAAATAAAGATATGATACAAAAATCAATTAGCAAGAAAATGTTAAGTGGAAAGAACTAAAAAGAGAATAAACAAACATGGAAAATAATAAGTATTAAGAAAGATTAGGAGTAAAAGTAAATAACTTACACCACACACACAAGTATTATTTTATTTGTCATATAGAGAACTAATAAGCTGTCAAAGACCAGTGATTCCAAAATCTAAATTTATTCAACAAGGATGAATGGTATTTAAAGTAGCAATCATCCAATAGGCTTCTCTCATTTCTTTATCAGCTTTAGTTTTGAAACAAGTGTTATACCTACAAGAATAACTTTATTGACAGAATGACCAGATTGGTTTAAGTGGTGCACAACAAAAAGGTCATATTTGGTGTTAATGAAGATTTATAGGTGTTGAAACATTCTCTAAGAATCATTTGGGTTTGTCTCACTCAGATGTTATATGAATACAGTATCAGCAATTAATTTAATCCATGATTTGAGTTAAAGTTCCATTGTTTGCAGTATACAGACAAAAACTGGAAAATTAAAGTTAATAAAAAAAATTGCTTATAGTTAATATTTCTGAAATCATGGATTTATCATGGCCTGAAACTGAAAATTACTAATGGCACATAATGCAAGATACACCTACAAAAATCAACTACTTTTGCATAAAGACAAATAATAAGTGAAAACTATTTTAGTTAAATTGAAGTGTTTCATTAATAAACATATAATAAATGTTATCACTGAAATTAGCATTTTTTATTTAAAGTTAACTAGGAACATAAATATTCGTTATATATTAAGTCTGACCCAACATGGGTCTCCACAATATTATGATGCAATTAATTAGAACTTGAGTTAATTATAGTAATAGCTTATGTACATTAGTTTCTAATATACAATGCAAAATAATAACATATTTCATTAATTCAAGGCAATTTCCATATAATGTACAAGCAGTGTTGTATGAGCATGAGAGGAGATGCCCCAAAATTTTGGGAACAGATATTTAGGTATATTTCATGATAATTTTATTTCCAGTTTTACCCTAACATCAAAAACAAAAGTATAAATACAACAATATTATTAATTTGCTTTTCCACTAACTCACAAATATTGAGTGCCAAAACACTTGTAGGTCCCTCTCAGAGAAATATTTGGGGGATACAAGAGCCAATACTTCCTGGGAAGTACATATAAAAGTAATGAAAAGCTGAAAATTATAGAGGTCTGCAAATGGTTACTTAGTCGGTCTTCCATATGTAATACTAATAGTACGAGTTCCCAGGCCTTTTCTCTTTATCAAAGTCAAACTAGTGTCTTCTCTAGCATTATTATTTTTCAATTTATCATTTTATGCAGTATACAACGTACTTATTTGCTGTAGTCATACCTATGAGTATGACCGGCAACATGGCGGATAAACAGTAGTCACATGAAAAGTCTCTATATTATTACTATTACTAATAGAAGTTACTAAGTTAGTACTGGAGGTTAGCTGGAGTTAAAACGTAAAGCTTAACCTGCTAAAGCCATAACGAACTTGAACTTAAGAAGGGCTCCTTCTTTGCTCGTTCAAACCAAGATACGATAGTTATTCAAAATATAAGCATTGATTATTATTATGTTTCAAAAATATGTGTACGCTCTTACTTACAATTTCGGCTTCGAAAAACAGATACTGTTGTAACTGGAAGGCAATTACTAGTTGTAGAAGTAAGAAATCGACAAACTTTAATCACAGACCCCGCCATTCTCATACCGGCAGTTACACGTATCGTGGGCCGTTTATTCGCAACACGTTGAAATGAAAGCAAAGAGACGCCACGTTTTGCACAGGCCAATGATGAAGCTTTTAACAAAGTTTTACGATAAACGCTTGAGTGAGTGAATTATTTGTATTGGATAGGGGATTTCTGAGAGCAAAGGTACTGCAAACTGGACCGGTATCAGAGGTTTCTTTCGAAGTGAGTGGAGATATAAACGAGCGACGAGGATTTAGCTTATTAGATTTTATCATAGGTGAGTTGGTTGGACATTGAAATTAAAAATTATTAAATGTAATCATATTATGATTTCTTTACAAATCTTAAAATTGTATGTATAAGGAATAATATGCACTGGTAGAGAAATATTTTCATGAAGTATTTTAATCATACTGTTTTTAAATATGGTACTTTTGAGTTTAGTGCTTTTTAAATTTGTACGTTTTAAGTTGTAAATTGTAATGGTATTGCCAGTTAAGTCTATCATCTATGGTACCTACTACTAAAGCTGTACATTGTATTCAAATTTACACTTAACTAGTATTGTGTAAAGAAATAATTACTTCTGTTGACTTGTAATCAGCATGTATTTAAATCCATAAAAATTATTAGGTTTAATACACTGCTTTGTTTGCCTAAGTGACTTATCCACCGCAATGCCGAGATCTTATTCTTCAGTAATACTGAATAGGTTCCCCATCTACATAAATATATGATCCAAGCTATCATAGCATTGAGGGACCCAACATCTAACCCTAAAAAGAAAAGAAGAGTAAACCTGTAAATATATTAAAAAAAACACTCAATTTACTTTTACACCTTGTATATATATGATTTACTGATTAATGCTGGAAAATGTAAATGTCACAAAGTTCAAATAAATTGTTATGAATTCAGAATTTTATGAAGTCAAACATGATAGAATTTGTGGCTGGTACTGGCTGCTTTTGAGTCACTGAACTGTGAAGAAATTACTTAGGAATAATATAAAGCTTCTTCATTGGCATGATGATTGTGAGAAACATGTGTTAATTGTAGTAATTGGGGCCAGATTGATCTACCAGGGCATTGGGAAAATTCATGATCAGTCAGTGTTCTATCAAAAGAAATTGATTTTTTTAAAATCGTGTGTAATTGGGTGCCCAGTTTCCAGTTAATGGCTGGTGAGGGATAAATGGGAAATGATATCACTCTTAAAATTATTTTTGTGTGAATTAATTTGAGTTCATATAATTTTGTGGTCTTATAAGTTTATACTAAGAAAGGTAATATAACTAACAAATGCAGTGTATATTGGTTGTATATGAACAGTTCTGCACCAGTGGCGTGCAGAGGTTCTATGATGCCGGGGCCTTGTACCTAAGATCTTGGGGAAGGGCGGAAAGGGTTCTACTATTCGAATCGACTCTTTGCGTTGGATGCCCGGGGCCCTGGCACCTTCCCCCCCCACTCTGCACACTACTGTTCTGCACAATGTATTTTTGTTTAATTTTTGAGCTTTATGAATAGTACTAGTACTGCTAGTATTATTGGCTTTGTAGCATTAAGAGTTGCACTCCACGTAGTTTTTCAGGAATCCTTCTCCTATCTCATTGGAGGGTTGGTGTAAAAATAATTTTCCTGGACCATTTTTATTCCCTGATTTGCCTAAGGTAGTACCATAGATCTTTTATAATTGCAACAGGTTGGATGGGAGAGTGGAAATATGTTAGCATACCATTTAAGCTATGGAACAGTTTTAGGAAGGAGCTCAAAAATATTAGCAAGTGCAAAGCTGCATAGTATTTTAAAGTTTGTGGTGCACTTAAACTAATTTGCGCTATTCATGGTATGCCTCTATTAATGCATGGTTATTATAGAATTTTAAGGAGATTTACTGTACTTTTGAGTAAAAAAAAAGCACTTTAGACAAGAAATGATTGCAACTGATAAAGGATATGGAAAACTTAACATTACAGTTGCATTTGTATGGATTAAAAAAGGCAGGAAAATGTTGGGTTTACTATCTTGTGAAATATTGGTGATTGTATAAAATTAGCTTCAGTTTAGCCACCATGTTGCAGGTCAAATCGGTATCTCTAACATGGACAAAGTAGTATTAATTTATTTGCTATATTTGTGTCTATGACAGGCAATATGACTGAAAATATATAGCCAGCTAACATTAATGTTTCAATTAAGATGTTAGCAAGAGGGTGCATGATGTTAAAGTAGGCCTGTAATACCTATAATGTTCTAGGTATCGTCATGGAAATCTAGTAACTTTGACATCATACTTTCTGCATTTGTAAGGAATAAAAGAGGCATAAAAATGCTGGGTGTACTATATTATGAAATAGTAAAATATTGGTGTTGAAAACCCCCAGAAAACATGATGCACATACCCACTATGTCTGTGTACATAATGATATGCTTAAAGTGACCAACTAATCTGTTTTAGCTTTTAGAGCTGGAGGCTTAATCAAGTACCTATAAGCATCGATTACATTGATTAGTAGGAAGTGAAATAATCAATTAAATCAATGTCACAAAAATAATCAACTTAGCCAAATTGTTTTCAGTTATTACTGTTTTCAGTTATTTCAATTATCCAAGTAATCAAAGTATTGCTGTTATGATTTCTAATTATTATTTCAATTAAGTCCAGGTTGTTCAGCTTGAATTTGTGTCACAACTCATGAAAATAATCAAGTAATTTAAATGAATGTTTCTGATTCTTACTAGTTTTGACTATTCCAACTATCCAAGTCTCACATGAGAGAATAAACAATTTAATGTAATTAATTAATGATCCCAATTGTTAATTGATTGTCGAGTTTCACTAATCACTGACATCTAGTATGCTTCAAGTAATTGTACGTTACAATGATTTTTTGTATTATTCAGATTACAGATACGTGTGAGAATTACAATAATTATGAATCTTCCGTGAAACAAATTGAACGTTCTTAACATTGATCAAGTTAATAAACAGTTCCAGAAATTTGCACATTTGATTTTGGAAAAAAACCCAACAAAAAACAAGTTACAGATACTAGTAATATCACATTATGATGGTAAAGATTTACATATGTGAGCCCACTTACAATACTACTTTGGTGTAAATATGCATCTATATATTGTTGTATTACAATTCTGTAGTTGTCACTATGACAGTGTAAGAAAAATGGTCCTCACAAAATTTTACACGTCTAAAGGCCAAGAAATGAAACTCCTTTCCCAGGATATTCTCATTCCAAACCAAAATTAACCTCTGCTACCTGTTGTTGTGGCATTGCTCTTTCATTAGACAGGTTTGTTTAAATATTTGGTAAAATAATTCAAAGTCCAGTCAATGTAACAATAATATATAGTTTTGTCTTCCTTAAAATTTCTACACTTGTAGTTGTACACTATTGTAACTTGTAGGCTTAAGTTTACAAAGGACATTTAAATGGAAATATCTTGATAATTGTACTGTGAATAATGTGCAAATAAACTTATTTGTACAATATTTTGGCTAATCAGTCGAGTACATGAATATACATAATAACAACATTAATCCAAATACTTCACTGTATGCCTAACATTATACCAATTGAAAAACAAAACTATTTAATGCTTCACTGCATTCATTGTTAGCTTACTAATTGATTGGTCCAATCTGTTTATATCTAATGTCTCACTTCTAGATGTTTATCAAAGTTACTAGATTTCTATGACATTATCTAGATTCTAGAACATTATTGGTATTCCAGGCCTACATTAACATCTAAATTGAAACATTAAAAATATAACTTTTAACACTGTCCCTTACTTAGATTGTAAAGTTCCTTCAACAATCTTAATACAAACAACTGCATTAAGCTGTCTATTTACCACATGTTTTTGGTGGTTTTTCTATTCTGAGGCCCATTGTACATAGATGGGATGACTCTTTGTTCCTTATCATCACTGACTGTTTTGCTGCTGTCTTGCTCAGGTAGGTGGTGGAGAAAATCCACTGATAGCTTTATTATTGTTAATCCTCTGGAAGTGTTCATGATAGGAGGCCTAGGCTCCTGAACAAGTTGAGTTTCCAGTGCCATATTCTTTTCTGGAGCTATCTATTTGGCTGTTCTTTCATTGATGTACTTCCAAAGATGATCACAGTGGATCAGCTATCCTTCTGGATTCTGTAAACCACATTGTTTATCCTTTTCAGTACAATATATAGCCCTTCCCAGCACTTATTTAACTTTGGTGCTCATTTTTTCTTGTGGCAAGGATTGTACAGTCATACCATGCTACCTTGATAGAATACTTTCTTATCAGCATTAGCAACATAGTCTTTTCCGACATTGATGGTGTTCCATAATATCTACATATTCTGTGTAAGATTCTTCTGAGTGACCATTATCTGGATGAGAGCACAGAAGGTCCAATGGCACTTTAATTTCTCTCCCAAGTATCAGCAATGATGGTGTGGACTGTAGCTATAAGTAATTGCTGTATGGTAACCCATCAGTACCATAGGAAGATCTTGATCCCTTATTTTCTGATGTTCATCTACATAAGTGGTGGATTGACTTAATGGTGTGCAGTTTTATTTCATAACCATGCATCAGAAGATGCTTCCTGGCTATTTGTTAAAATAGTCCATCACAACCATGATGTATTTATTCCCATAGTTACTCTGTGGCAGGGGACCAAACACGTTGACAGCAGCTCTCTCCAGTGGTGTTTCAACACAATATCATAGCTACCCATGCTATTTATTTTGTGGATTTCCACTCATAGCATAACTCACATGCTTTACACTAAATCTCTACATGTCCTGAGCACCCAACACGATAGAAGTGTTCTTGTACTTGCTAAAGTGGCTTCTTAACACTTGTGTGTTCAGCCGTTGGAAAGTTGTGAGGATAGAGTACTTCAGAAGAGACTGTAGAAGTACCAACTGTAATTGTAGTTTCTGCTTACTGGTATCTTAACATTCATTACGTAACAAGCCCTCATGTAAGCATAATGAATCTAACTGTGCCCAGTACATCTATGTCTTTGAGCTTTCTGTAGTGACTGCTTTCAATGATTTTTTTTTAATTTGCAATATTCTTGATCCAATGAATAATTGGTTTCAAGCTCATTTTTTGTTGAGTCATATTAGTTCTTAATCATCAATTGTGGATGTCACTTCTTGGATTATACTCTATTGTGCTTTTGGCTGGTGATCTTTACTATCTTCTGTTTCTCTCTTTTCACAGGGTTTACATTTTTCTGCAGCACATAGTCTTTGGG